ACGGTGATATCATTTGTTTACTTTTATTTATTGTCCGATTTCTTTCATTTTTGGTGTACGTTAAGAAGCATCTTTCCATCATACATTGCCTAAGTTTCAATAAGACAGTCCAACAAACAACAAATACAATTACATAGATTATTATGTGTAGAGAACCTAGGATAACCCAAACAAGTAAGACAAAGTGACTTCCATTGGGGTCCTTTTATTTGGTTTTTTAATGTTGTCTGTGAAATTCATTGCATTTATATCATTATTAATGCTGCTATGTAAAGATATAAATGAATAACTTACTTCCGAAATAACAAAAACGAGTGTACAGTGGAACCTCAAATTTTGAACGTGTCGCTTATCGAACTCTTTGAAAATCGACTGCTTTTTTCAAGCCAACTTTGTCCCTATTATCAAACTTGCCCCTATTTTCAAACCACCAGGTACTGGCCCTGTCCGCCAGCCCACTCTGTCCGCGTCCCCATGCAGGTGCCGTGAGCCAGTCTGGCTTTGTTGATGCTTGAGTGAACACTAACCTGCAGTCTCATTCAAACATTTGATGATTAATTCATTGTGTTTAGTGCTTGTGGGACTATGAAATAAGCTACCATGGGCCCAAAGAAACTTGCTAGTGGTACCCCTGTGGTAAAGAAAGTGAGAAACACCATAGATGTGAAGAAGGAAATAATACAGAAGTATGAGAGTGGTGTGAGGCTTGTTGAGCTTGCCAGGATGTATGGGAAAAACAAGTCGACCAAGGTGCCTTCTTCAATATTAAGGAGATTTGCGCCAAGTGGAATGATGTCCAAATGTTTGTGGAGAAGTACCACCCTGAGCAAGCTGAAACAAGCCATCTTTACAAGTTCAGTGACAAAACCATGTCCCAGTTTAGGGAAATCTTAAAGAGGCACCAAAAACAAAGGACTCTGGACAGCTATTTTGTGAGACAGGGGTCCAGTGACTCTCAAACTGGTCCTAGTGGCATTAAAAGACAGAGAGGGGAAGTAACCCCAGAGAGGGCTTTGATACCTAAAGTCCTTATGGAGGGGGATTCCCCTTCCAAACATTAGCCCCAACTCCCTCTCTCCTCCTCCCTGTCTTCCAGATGCCATCACCAATCTTCAATAAAGGTAAAAATGTTATTTTATATGTTTATTTAAATTTATTAATAATTGTACACTATATTTGTTGTGTGTATATAAAACTATAATGTAATACTATCTATAAAATGTATTTTTTTGTGAATATTTTTGGGTTTCTGGAACGGATTAATTGTACAGTGGACCCCCGGCTTACGATATTATTTCATTCCAGAAGTATGTTCAGGTGCCATTACTGAACGAATTTGTTCCCATAAGGAATATTGTGAATTAGATTAGTCCATTTCAGACCCCCAAACATACACGTACAAACGCACTTACATAAATACACTTACATAATTGGTCGCATTGGGAGCTGATCGTAAAGCGGGGGTCCACTGTATTTCCATTATTTCTTATGGGAAATATTACTGTGCTTTTCAAACTTTTCGAATTTAAAACTAGCTCCTCGAACAGAGTTCGAAATTTGAGATTCACTGTATATCGCAGCCCTGTACTACACTACGTGGGTACTTTTATCCCATATCTTCTATTATTATTATCATCATTATTATTATTATTATTATTATTATTATTATTACGTATTATTATTATTACTAGCAGTAACATTATACCTTGGTATTATGCCAGATATTATTCATTCTGGAGTATTTACCATATTTTTATGATATTTATATTGTTTATTATGTCATATTAGATCAATTATGATAAGTAAATAAGCTGTAGTGTTGAAATTAGTGTAATAATAAAGCATATTCCCCTGCATCACAAGATTCAGCAGCTCATAGCTACCGACAGTGGTTTCAAAGCCACATTATCTTTTATGGACGTTGTACAGTGTAGGTGCTTTACACAATGAGAAGTATTTCTTTTATTTGTTGGAACTATGGCTAGGGCTAAAAGTGAGCAGGTTATAACAGTAAAAGGAGAAAAATAAATTGAAATGACTTATGCAGCAAGTAGCGCCAACAAACAACAGCAGCAGGTTGGTGTGGCAATCCCGAAAATTTGAATTTATGCTAGCCAAAATTAGTGCTGGATTACTGATGGAACCGGATAACGGATTGCCGGATTAGTGGTGGCCGACCTGTATTGTTTTTATTATGTGTAACTTCAGGATTATTATTCTTATAAACCTCCACCTGGACTACCTTGCATTAGTATTAAGATTAATAAAGATTTCAATAAAAGTTAATCACTCTTATCATGTCTTGATTTAAGTAGTTATTATGTACTAGAATTAGTCTGCCCAAAATGCCCTGGCATTATAGTGGCTTTCTTTGTACTTAGCAAACCAAAATTGTAATTTCACATTGTTACCTTTACATAGAAATAAATCTTGTATTCTCTTGTTATATTCATAAGTGTTACCTTTCTCCCACTCCAACAGCACATCGTCATAAAAACTATTTGCCTCCACTCTCACCTATCTAACATGCTTATGCACACTTGCTGGAAAGCTAAGCCCCTCACACACAAAACCTCTTTTACTCCCTCCCTCCAACCCTTTCTAAGATGACCCCTACCCTGCCTTCCTTCCAGTACAGCTTTATACACCCTCCAAGTCATTCTGTTTTGTTCCACCCCTCTCTAAATGTCCAAACCATCTCAACAACCCCTCCTCAGTCCTCTGGATAATACTATTAAAAATCCTGCACCTCCTAATCTCCAAGCTATGGATTCTCTGCATGATAATCACACCACACATTTGCCTCAGACACTACATCTCCACTGCCTCCAGCCTCCTCCTTGCTGCAACATTCACTACCCATGTTTCACATCCATATAAAAGCATTGGTTCCACTACACTCAGACATTCCCTTCTTTTCTTCCATGGATAATGTTCTTTGTTTCCATAGACTCCTCAGTGTGCCACTCACCTTTTTTTACCCTCATCAATTCTATAGTTAACCTTTTCTTTCATAGGCCCATCTGCTAACAAGTCCATTCCCAGATATATGAAAACATTCACTTACTCATTGCTCCCTCCCTCCAATCTGATATCCAGTCTTTTATTACCTAAATTTTTAGTTATCCTTGTCACCTTGCTTTTTCCTATAATCATTTTTAGTTTCCTTCTTTTACATACCCCTCCCAAATTCGTCCACCAACTTCTGCCACTTCTCTCCAAAATCTCACAAAAGCACAGTGTCATCAGAAAAAAACAACTATGACAACTCTTGCTTTGTATTTATATTCTTTTTCTTTTAATCTATCATCTCTTCCCAACACCTGAGCATTCACTTCTCTTACAACCCCATCTATAAATATGTTGAACAACCATGGTGACATCACACATCCCTGTCTAAGGCCTACTTTTTCCTGGAAAATTATCTCCCTTTCTCCTACATACTCTACCCTGTGCCTCACTATCTTCATAAAAACTCTTAACTGGTTTCAGTAACCTACCACCTGTTCCATACACTTGCAACATCTGCCACGATGCTTCCCTATCCATCCTATCATATGTCTTTTCCAAATTCATAAATGCAGTAAAAATCTCTTAACCCCTATCTAAATACTGTTCACTTAAATGTTTCACTGTAAACACTTGATCTACACATTTCCTACCCTTCCTGAAGCCTCTTTGTTCATCTACAGTCCTTCTCTCCATCGTACTCTTGATTCTTTCAATAATAACTCTACTGTACACCTTACCAGGTACTTAACAGGCTTACTCCCTTATAATTCTTATGCTGTCTTCTGTCCCCTTTGCATTTACACAAAGGAACTATGCATGCTCTCTGCCAATCCCTAGGTACCGTACCCTCACTCATACTTTTCTTAAATGAGCACATCATCCATTCCAAAATTATATACCCACCTTCTTTTAACATTTCTGTCTTGATCTCATCAATCCCAGCTGCTTTACCTCCTTTCATTCTACTACTCAATGCCTCATGCACCTCCCCCACACTCACATCTGGCTCTTCCTTACTCTTAAAATATGTTATACCTTCCTGGCCAATGCACAAAATCACAGCTTCAGTAATTATTGATTCCATCAATTTTCCCACAATTAAGGTTAGGCTATTTGGTCTATATTACAAAGCTAGAGACCTGTTTCCTGCTTTGTAGATAGGTATTACCATTTTCAGCTTTAATGGTACTTTTCCAGTTTGTAGTGATATACCGTAAAGACTAGCCATTGGTTTGCTAAGTTCCTCCTTACATTCCTTTATGACCCTTGATAACAGTTCATCAGGGCTCAGGGATTTGTTTGGTTTTAATTTACTTTTTTTTGAGAACCATGTCACTAGTGACTTTGATTGTACATAACTTATTTTCAGCCTGATCTACATAATTTTTTATTTGTGGAGTTTTTCTAGGATCTTTCTTCATAAAAACTGAGAGGAAATAAATGTTGAAGATTGAACACATTTCTTCATCACTGTCAGTGACCTGACCTGAGCAACTTTTAATCTTTTCACTATCCCGACCCTGCAATGAAAATTGCTCTCAGTGTCTTGGGGTTTTTAACTACAAACAAGTTGTGCTCCTGGGGTTTCAGCTACAAACAAGTTGTGTTCCTTGGGTTTTAATTTAAAAACGAGTTGTATTCCAACTCGTTTGTATACAGAATAAGCCCAAAGATAATTGTTCCACTCATGCATGTACTGCACATTAGATATTGTAAAAATGCAATTGGTTCTTGAGTTCCCCATTTGTAAGTGCAGATGTTTGTAATAAGTGGTGGTTGTAACCTAAGGACTTATTATATTCAACCTTCCAGCAAAAGACTGTTGTAAAATGATATATCTACATCATTAATTTGTTTAAAAATATAATTAAAACCCATGATAGAAGGTCATTGTCTTGACTACAACAAGTATTGTGCCTTTATTTTGTTTACTAAATTTGTTGAATAATATTGTAGTAAATATTTAAAGGATGTTTGACGGTCAACAGGTTGTTATCTACTACTCGTTGAGGTTGCTGCTAGCACCGGTAGTGGAGTCTGTCATACTCCTGGACAGACTGATCTTCCTCTATGAAACAGGTCAGTTACCCACTTTAATAGTGGTAGTCTGTCAGACAAGAATCAATACATTGTTGATATACAGTATTGACAAGTTGATGAATAAAACACGTATACAACACCTGGATATCTTTATATATACACAAAAACTCGCACATAGTACAGGTCAGCCATCACTAATCCGGCATCATTGGGACTTGTAGTGTGCCAGATTAGTGAGTTTGCCAGATTACAGAGCGGTTAGGTTAACCCCTTGACTGTCGTGACCCCAAATCCTGAGGTGTCTCCTGGTGTCACAAAATTTCCGAAAAAAAAAATTATTTTTTCTTATGATATGATAGAGAATCTTTTCCCGATTGTAAGGACACCAAAAGAACGAAATTACGCTCTCGCAAAGTTAGCAACCTCGGTGATATTTATGAATCGGCAATTTCACCCACTTTGAGCCCTATTTTCGGCTAATTCCATTGTTCCAGTCGACCAAACTCATAGCTATTTCTTTAGAACTCCATTTTTTCTGTCGATTGAGTACAAGAAACTGCCCATTTACCGATTTCAACTACCCAATAACATGGTCAGAAATTTTCAATTTGGCCAATTTCACGAAAATTAAAAAATATGACAATTTCAAAATAGGGTCCAGAATGAACAATGCAGACATTCCTGGCTCTAAAATAATATTTTCTTTGTTCATCAGTCACATCTCCAGGCCCCTCTGATATTACTCTTGCTTTCTATTTATGACTGCATATTAGAATGGCTACTTGGACATTAATTGGAAAATGACATCATTTGTTTACTTTTGAACATCAGCAAAAATCAAATATTTTCCCTACTTTGAGCTCCATTTCAAGGTTCTTTTCATAGTAAAACCAACCAAAATCACCTCTATTTCTATAATATGTTTTCCATTCTATCGAATGAGACCAAGAAAGCAAGAATACAACCATAAATGCTATACGAAAATAGACCACAATGTTGGCATTTTGATTAAAAAAACGGTCGGATTTTTTTTTTCTCGTTATGCACTGTGTGCTGCAGGATTTTTTTTATATGGTGCACACTGACCACACAGACCCATTCTCTCACATGTGGGCCTACCAGCTTTCTCCTGCTTGATTTGAAGCCGTTAGAATTTATGAGAATATATAAGTCAATCACGTTGGCTCATAAGACGTATATATACGACCAAAACAGTGGCCCGGTGGCCTGGTGGCTAAAGCTCCCGCTTCACACACGGAGGGCCCGGGTTCGATTCCCGGCGGGTGGAAACATTTCGACAAGTTTCCTTACACCTGTTGTCCTGTTCACCTAGCAGCAAAGCAAATAGGTACCTGGGTGTTAGTCGACTGGTGTGGGTCGCATCCTGGGGGACAAGATTAAGGACCCCAATGGAAATAAGTTAGACAGTCCTCAATGACGCACTGACTTTCTTGGGTTATCCTGGGTGGCTAACCCTCCGGGGTTAAAAATCCGAACGAAATCTTATCTCTTATCTTATCTCTTAACAGTCAGCGAGTTAAAATACACTTAATTAACCTATCAATAGAGACTCCGCTACGTCTTCCTCATTTTCATCACTGCTTTCTCCTCCGCTAGCTTGCTGCAGTGGATTTACAAGCATCTGCACAATTTCTGAGTCAGTATAATGATGAAATTTAAAATTATGCTAGCTGAAATTAGTGCTGGATTACTGATGGAACCAGATAACTGATTGCCGGATTAGTGATGGCCGACCTGTAGTAAAAACTTATACTGTAACAACGTTTCAGTCCAACTTCGACCATTAACTAGTTATTGGTCCAAGTTGAACCAAAATATCATAAGTTTCTTTCTCCAGTTCATGTTTTATTTGTGCATTGTTCCTGTCACAGTCTTGGGCTTTTTTTTTTGCCAGCCATAGGCTTTTTCTTCCATTGTTCTTGGTATGTAATTCGTATGTAATTAATAAAAGCCACTGTTGGTAAGAATGTACTATTGATATATAGAGACCCAGGTGATGCATATGTCTGCTTCATAGTTAATTTATATTTGTTTATGTAAGGTACACATTATGTACCTTATAACATTAAGAAGATAGAAATACAGTGGACCCCCGGTTAACGATATTTTTTCACTCCAGAAGTATGTTCAGGTGCCAGTACTGACCGAATTTGTTCCCATAAGAAATATTGTGAAGCAGATTAGTCCATTTCAGACCCCCAAACATACACGTACAAACGCACTTACATAAATACACTTACATAATTGGTCGCATTCGGAGGTAATCGTTATGCGGGGGTCCACTGTACAATAATAATAATAATAGTAATATTGTCAAAAGTACTAGAATGGTAACATTATATACAACTTCTTAAGAACTTCTTCATTCTTTACTTTGAAATTTCTACCTATCTGTAAGATTTTTTATATGATGTTAAATTACAGTAAAACCTCTATTTTGAGTTCTTTAACCAAGCAGATCTACGTTCACATGCATAGTGCTCCAAAAGTAGATCTATGTTTTTTTTTTACATATTTTCAAATATAACAAAAAAAAATGTAGATCAAAGTTTTTTTACACTTTTTCAAATGTAAAAAAAGAAAAGATCTACTTTTTTTACATACTTCAAATGTTGAAAAAACGTAGATCTACGTTTGGACAGTTTAAGGGTTAAGGAGATAGCAACTGGTCTATAATGGTGCCTGTGGTAGATAGAGAAGACATTATAGGAGATAACAACTGGTTAATAATGGTAATTGTGGTAGACAGGGAAGACATTATAGGAGATAACAACTGATTAATAATGGTAATTGTGGTAGATAGAGAAGACATTATAGGAGATAACAGCTGATTAATAATGGTAATTGTGGTAGATAGAGAAGACATTATAGGAGATAACAGCTGATTAATAATGGTAATTGTGGTAGATAGAGAAGACATTATAGGAGATGATAACTGGTCAGAAATGGTGATTAGGGTAGATAGAGAATAGATTATTTACCATAATTATAATCACAACAGACAATTCTATGACAAAAATACTTTGTCCATTGTTTCTGAATCAGTTAATACAGTGGATTTTGTCCTATATTTTCAAAGTCTGTTAAATCAAGTTCAGTTAAGCCCAGGGCTTACCGATTCATTAAATTAATCCACATACAGTAGTCCCCCCGTAACCGCAGGGGATACGTTTCAAGACCTATCGTGGATACCTGAAATTGTGGATAGTAGCGAACACTATATGTCATTCTTTGTTTACATACATGCCTGTGATAAAGTTTAATTGATAAATTATACAGAGTAAGTCTAGAATTAGCACTTTTTCTCTAATGGAAAGCATTTCGTATCTTAGGCTTTGAAATGAAATGAAAATGTTTATTTTCTTGCAAAGCTTACGATGTGTGGTTTAAATATTACAAAATATTAATTACAAAGAAAGCCACTAGCATGCCTAGGCATTTTGGGCAGACTAATCCTAATTCATTCTGACTATACTGACACAGGTTATGGAACAGTACATTTTAATGTTCATTAATGCATATTGATATAAAAGTTAGGTAATTAAAAAGTTTATCATTAATAAGATTGATAATAGTGAGATAGTTCAAACCATATAACAGTATTACCATTAGTAAATTTAGTAATGGGAATCTCCATGGGGAAGTGGAACAGAATTCTTCCTCCGTAAGCCATGCGTGTTGTAAGAGGCAACTAAAATGCCGGGAGCAAGGGGCTAGTAACCCCTTCTCCCGTATAAATTACGTACTAAATTTAAGAGAAACTTTCGTTTTTCTTTTTGGGCCACTCTGCCTTGGTGGGATACGGCCGGTGTGTTGAAAGAAAGAAGGAAGTAATGGGAATGGATTTATCTTGGCATGATACACTGTTTCCATAAGAAATATTGTGAAGTAGATTAGTCCATTTCAGACCCCCGAACATACACATACAAACGCACTTACATAAATACACTTACATAATTGGTCACATTCGGAGGTAATCGTTATGCGGGGGTCCACTGTATTAGGAATTTTATGTTTACAGTCATTTGGGTGAGTGCAAGTATAAAATACAGAGAATTACAGATAAGGAGTATAAGTTAATTTTGTTTTTGATGTGTTCATGATACAGAAAATAACGTGTGATTTTCACATAATTTGTTGATAATGGAGTGTGTTATGGACATCACGTGTTTTTTAACGGTGTTTTGAAAATGCTGGTTGAGTCTGCAGTTCTAGACATTTCAGGCAGGAAGTTTAAGATTTTAGGCCCTTTTATGTACATTGAGCTTTTGAAGAGGTTTAGCCAGACATGAGGAATCTCAAAGAGATTTTTGTGTCTGGTATTATGTCTATGGGTCCTGTTCCAACTATCAAGAAAGTGTTTTAGTTCAGGATTAACATCAGAATTTATGGTTCTGTAAATGTGGGTTGCACAGTAATGGGTGTGAATGTTTTGTATAGTGAGTACATTTAGGTCTTTGAAGAGTGGGGGATGGGGGGGAGTGAGCCTGGCCCATGGCTGGGCTCACAGAGTAGATTAACTCTTGAAACTCTTCAAAGATATATCAAAGGTAGCATTGGATTGTGTGATAATTCTTACTGCAGCATTTTGTTATGTTAATATTATTGGCTTTAGGTGGGTTGCTGCTGTTGATCCCCAGGCACAAGTAGCATAGGTGAGGTAGGGATAGACGAGTGAATATTATAGTGTAAGTAGGGCTCATTGTGGTACATAGTAACCTATCTTTGAAAAGATCCCAACTGTTTTGGATGCTTTGTTTGTTATGTGTTGGATATGGGTGTCGAATTTCAGAAATTTGCCCTCATTTTGTTTAGCAACAAGTGTTGTTAATCATAATGTTCATTTGGGCATCACCAGTTCTGCTCGCAAGCATAATGTAGAAGGTTTTGTCAGTATTACGTGTAAGTTTATTGGCAGTCATCCAGGTCGATATTTTTACAAGCTTTTCAGTAACAATAGTGTTGAGAGAGGCAAGGTTAGGGTGGTTGATGGTATAAGTCATGTTGTCAGGATGGAGAATATGTAAAAGTTGTTGTAATATGTTTGGAAGATCATTGATGTTTAAGAGGAAGAGCAGGGGACCAAGGACACTTCCCTCTGGTACTCCAGTATCCAGTGGTCTTGCTGGTGAGGGTGTGTCCATAGTTAATAGAGATGTATAGATCTTCTTCTTTCAACAAACCGACCGTATCCCACCGAGGCAGGGTGGGCCCCCCCCCCCCCCCAAAAAAAAAAAACGAAAGTTTCTCTTTTTAAATTTAATAATTTATACAGGAGAAGGGGTTACTAGCCCCTTGCTCCTGGTATTTTAGTTGCCTCTTACAACATGCATAGCTTACGGAGGAAGAATTCTGTTCCACTTCCCCATGGAGATAAGAAATAAACAAGAACAAGAAATAGTAAGAAAATAGAAGAAAACCTAGAGGGGTGTGTATATATATGCTTGTACATGTATATTTAGTGTGACCTAAGTGTAAGTAAAAGTAGCAAGACATACCTGAAACCTTGCATATTTATGAGACAGAAAAATGGACACCAGCAATCCTACCATCATGTAAAACAATTACAGGCTTTCATTTTACACTTGCTTGGCAGGGCGGTAGTACCTCCCTGGGCGGTTGCTGTCTACCAACCTACTACCTAGGATGTATAGATGTCTGTTAGTAAGGTAGGATCTGATATATGTTAGTGCATGGCCACTTATACCATAATGGTCAAGTTTGTGGAATAGGATGCTGTGCTCCTTAGGTTGATAAAGATTCCTGTGTAAAGTGCTGTGTAAAGCAGGTCTAGTATTTTTACAAATGCATCATTTGTGCCTTTGTTTTTCCTGAAGCCAAATTGGCAGGGGTTGAGGATGTTTTGTGCTGTTATAAAGGAGTATAATCTCTTGTGCATAAGTTTGTCAAAGTTTTTGGATAGCAGCAGTAAGTTTGATATTGGCCTATAGTTGATTAACATCCATGGGGTAACCACCTTTGTGTATTGGTGTAACTGCCACCATCACTGCTTTTGCTATTATTACACAAAATTAGGGATTATTTTTTGTATTTTCAAAATCTGTTAAATCAGTTCAGTTAAACCCAGGTAAACCCAGGGTTTACTGATTCATTAAATTAATCTAAATACAGTAGTCCCCCCGTATCAACGGGGTATATGTTTCAAGACCTACCGTGGATAGTATCAAACCCTATACAGTGGACCCCCGGTATTCGATATTAATCCGTTCCTGAGAGCTCATCAAATACCAAAATTATCGAAAGGCGAATTAATTTTCCACCTAAGAAATAATGGAAATCAAATTAATACGTGCAAGACACCCAAAAGTATGAAAAAAAAAAATTTACCACATGAAATATTAACCCTTTGACTGTCGCGGCCGTATATATACGTCTTACGAGGTACCGTGTTTGACGTATATATACTCATAAATTCTAGCGGTTTCAAATCAAGCAGGAGAAAGCTGGTAGGCCCACATGTGAGAGAATGGGTCTGTGTGGTCAGTGTGCACCATATAAAAAAAAATCCTGGAGCACGCAGTGCATAATGAGAAAAAAAAACTCCGACCGTTTTTTTAATTAAAATGCCGACTTTGTGGTCTATTTTCGTATAGTATTTATGGTTGTATTCTCGTTTTCTTGGTCTCATTTGATAGAATGGAAAATATATTATGGAAATAGAGGTGACTTTGATTGATTTTACTATAAAAAGAACCTGGAAATGGAGCTCAAAGTAGGGGAAATGTTTGATTTTTACCGATGTTCAAAAGTACACAAATGATGTCATTGTCCAATAAATGTCCAACTAGCCATTCTAATATGCAGTCATGAATGGGTTGATGTTATTTATACAATTATTACAGCATTGCAGTAGTCTGCATAATAGTAAGTCTTCTATTTTTTGTTTGAATAAAAATTCAAAATAGAAAGCAAGAGTAATATCAGAGGGGCCTGGAGACATGACTGATGAGCAAGGAAAATGTTATTTTAGAGCCAGGAATGTCTGCATTGTTCATTCTGGACCTTATTTTGACATTGTTATATTTTTTAATTTTCATGAAATTGGCCAAGTTGCAAATTTCTGACCACATTATTGGGTAGTTGAAATCGGTAAATGGGCAATTTCTTGTACTCAATCGATAGAAAAATTGGAGTTCTAAAGAAATAGCTATGGCTTTGGTTGACTGGCACAAAAGAATTAGCCGAAAATAGGGCTGAAAGTGGGCGAAATTGCCGATTTTTCAATATCGCCGGGGTCGCTAACTTCGCGAGAGCATAATTCCGTCAGTTTTCCATCAAATTTCGTTTTTTTTAGTGTCATTACAATCGGGAAAAGATTCTCTATCATTTCATAAGAAAAATCTTTTTTTTTTTTTTTTTGACATTTTGCGACACCAGGAGACACCTCAGGATTGGGGGTTGCGACAGTCAAGGGGTTAAGTTTAATGCACACAAACTGAAGAAGACATGCACAGTTTGTAGTACTCTACTAACAATAGAATACATGACACTTACCTTTAATGAAGATCTGGTGATGATTGATGGATGGGAGGAGGGGAGAGTGTCGAACTTATTGTTTAGAAGGGGAATCCCCTTCCATTAGGACTTGAGGTAGCAAATCCTTTTCCGGGGTTACTTCCCTTCTTCTTTTAATGCTACTAGGACCAGCTTAAGAGTCACTGGACCTCTGTCGCACAACATATCTCTCCATAGAGCTCTGTACCTCCCGTTCCTTTACGATTTATCTAAAATGGGCCACAACATTGTCATTGTAATAGTCACCAGCACGGCTTGCAGTAGCTGTGTTAGGGTGATTTTCATCCATAAAGGTTTGCAGTTCAACCCACTTTGCACACATTTCCTTAATTTTTGAAGTAGGCACAATGGATTCCACAACTGGCATAGGCTTCTCAGGGTTAGCCCCGAACCCTTCAAAATCTTTCTTAATTTCCATACTAATTCTCACCCTTTTTACCACAGGGTTGGCACTAGAAGCTTTCTTGGGGCCCATGATGACTTATTTTGCAGAAACAAGCACCAAAAACACTGTGATAATATGGAATGTACCGAATGTATCCTTAGATGCAAGCACACTGGCTGGCTTGTAAACACTGGCACACACGGAGCAGATCAGGCCACATGTGGAGACTTCTCAGACAAATTGCGTGTGGCGGGCTTTTTAACGAGAAGCGAGGCAAAATTTTTGCGTTAAAATGTATCGAATACGGATTTATCGGATACCGATGCCATCGAATACCAGGGGTCCACTGTATATGTCATTTTTGTCCACATACATACCTGTGATCAAGTTTAATTGATACATTATGCAAAGTAAGTCTAGAATTAGCACTTTTTTACTGATGGAAGCATTTTACAGCTTCACTTAGGCTTTGAAGAACTGCCACCACTGCTTATGAGCTCTGGGGCCATTATTACGCAATATTAGGGATTATATTTTGGCCACAGTGAACCGTGGATAACTGAAACTGCGGATACTGAATCCGTGGATAAAGGGGTTCTACTGTATAATATAAAAGTTGCTGGGTAAATTGTATTTGTGTGTTTTGTTGGCAGGTGCAGCAGAGAGTCTACTTGTACCAACATTTGACCCACTCTTGTCACCAAGGAATCATGTCCTGGTTGCTCTCAAACCCACTAATAAATTGTGACCTCCAAATATGTGTGTATCTCCTTCCACAAGAAGGCTGTGTGGGCCAGCAGGCTGCCAACACATACAGCCTGCTGGAAAAGTCAGTCAAGAGAAAGTGGTGGTCCTAGGCTGGCCTACCAGGGTTGAAAAACTCTCAGAACCAGCCACCGATATATCACTGGTATATCACTGGTATATCACAGATACATCACTGGTACATCACTGGTATATCACTGGTATATCACTGGTATATCACTGGTATATCACTGGTATATCATTGGTACATCACTGGTATATCATTGGCATAAACATCACTCTCTAATACGTGATAATTATTATTAATTTATGGGGAGACCTAAACCTAAATGGGCTATACAGTTCCTGTGGAATGAAGTAATGTTTGATCCAAGGAAGAGGAATGTAACTCCATCTCCTTGAATCAAAATCCCTCCACCAGCATCAAGACAAGCTTATTAAGAAGTGAAGATAAGAATGGTGTCCCAGAAATCAAGGTCCAAGAACATTATAGTGAAGGTCTCTTGATAGAAGGTACCTTGGTGATAGTGAAGGTTTCTTGATCCAAGGTATCTTGATGCTAGTGAAGGTCTCTTGATCCAAGATATCTCAATGCTAGTGAAGGTCTCTTGATCCAAGGTATCTTGATCTTAGTGAAAGTCTCTTGATCCAAGACACCTTGATGCTAGTGAAGGTCTCTTGATTCAAGATATCTCAATGCTAGTGAAGGTCTCTTGAGCCAAGGTATCTTGATCTTCATGAAAGTCTCTTCATCCAAGACACCTTGATGCTAATGAAGGTCTCTTGATCCAAGGTACCTTGTTGCTAGTGAATTTCTCTTGATCCAAGGTACATTGATGCTAGTGAAGGTCTCTTGATCCAAGATACCTTGATGCTAGCAAAGGCCTCTTGAGTCAAGGTACCTTGATGCTTATGAAGGTCTCTTGATCCAAGACATCTTGATGCTAGTGAAGGCCTCTTGATTCAAGGTACCTTGATGCTAGTGAAGGTCTCTTGATCCAAGGTACCTTGATGTTAGTGAATGTCTCTTGATCCAAGATGCCTTGATGTTAGTGAAGGTCTCTTGATACAAGGTACCTTGATGCTAGTGAAGGTCTCTTGATCCAAGGTATCTTGATGTTAGTGAAGGTCTCTTGGTCCAAGATATCTTGATGCTAGTAAAGGTCTCTTGATCCAAGATACCTTGATGCTAGTGAAGGTCTCTTGATCCAAGGTACCTTGATGTTAGTGAATGTCTCTTGATCCAAGACACCTTGATGTTAGTGAAGGTCTCTTGATCCAAGGTACCTTGATACTAGTAAAGATCTCTTGATCCAAGACATCTTGATGCTAGTGAAGGCCTCTTGATTCAAGGTACCTTGATGCTAGTGAAGGTCTCTTGATCTAAGGTACCTTGAAGTTAGTGAATGTCTCTTGATCCAAGATGCCTTGATGCTAGTGAAGGTCTCTTGATCCAAGGTACCTTGATGCTAGTGAAGGTCTCTTGATCCAAGGTACCTTGATGTTAGTGAAGGTCTTTTGATCCAAGATATCTTGATGCTAGTAAAGGTCTCTTGATCCAAGATACCTTGATGCTAGTGAAGGTCTCTTGATCCAAGGTACCTTGATGTTAGTGAATGTCTCTTGATCCAAGGTACCTTGATGTTAGTGAAGGTCTCTTGATCCAAGGTACCTTGATGCTAGTGAAGGTCTCTTGATCCAAGGTACCTTGTTGTTAGTGAATGTCTTTTGATCCAAGGTACCTTGATGCTGTTGAAGATCTCTTGATCCAAGACACCTTAATGCTAGTGAAGGTCTCTTGATCCAAGACACCTTGTTGCTAATGAAGGTCTCTTGATCCATGGTACCTTGATGTTAGTGAAGGTCTCTTGATCCAAGGTACCTTGATGTTAGTGAAGGTTTCTTGATCCAAGGTACCTTGATGTTAGTGAAGGTCTCTTGATCCAAGGTACCTTGATGTTAGTGAAGGTTTCTTGATCCAAGGTACCTTGATGTTAGTGAAGGTCTCTTGATCCAAGGTACCTTGATGTTAGTGAAGGTCTCTTGATCCAAGGTACCTTGATGTTAGTGAAGGTCTCTTGATCCAAGGTACCTTGATGTTAGTGAAGGTCTCTTGATCCAAGGTACCTTGATGTTAGTGAAGGTCTCTTGATCCATAAAGGTATATCAGACTTTTAAGACCCTCAAAAGTTGTTTCAAAGAACCATTTCTTATGAAAAGAAAATATACATCACAACACTACACAATATACATCACAACACTACACAATATACATCACAACACTACACAATATACATCACAACACTACACAATATACATCACAACACTACACAATATACATACAAACTACACAATACACACAACACTACACAATATACATCACAACACTACACAATATACATCACAACACTACACAATATACATCACAACACTACACAATATACATCACAACACTACACATATATCACACTCACATACATCAACCTACACAATATACATCACAACACTACACAATATACATCACAACACTACACAATATACATCACAACACTACACAATATACATCACAACACTACACAATATACATCACAACACTACACAATATACATCACAACACTACACAATATACATCACAACACTACACAATATACATCACAATGCTACACAATATACATCACAACACTACACAATATACATCACAACACTACACAATATACATCACAACACTACACAATATACATCACAACACTACACAATATACATCACAACACTACACAATATACATCACAACACTACACAATATACATCACAACACTACACAATATACATCACAACACTACACAATATACATCACAACACTACACAATATACATCACAACACTACACAATATATATCACAACACTACACAATATACATCACAACACTACACAATATACATCACAATGCTACACAATATACATCACAACACTACACAATATACATCACAACACTACACAATATACATCACAACACTACACAATATACATCACAACACTACACAATATACATCACAACACTACACAATATACATCACAACACTACACAATATACATCACAACACTATACAATATACATCACAACACTACACAATATACATCACAACACTAACAATATACATCACAACACTACACAATATACATCACAACACTACACAATATACATCACAACACTATACAATATACATCACAACACTACACAATATACATCACAACACTACACAATATACATCACAACACTACACAATATACATCACAACACTATACAATATACATCACAACACTACACAATATACATCACAACACTACACAATATACATCACAACACTATACAATATACATCACAACACTACACAATATACATCACAACACTACACAATATACATCACAACACTACACAATATACATCACAACACTACACAATATACATCACAACACTACACAATATACATCACAACACTACACAATATACATCACAACACTATACAATATACATCACAACACTACCCAATATGTATAACATTACTATGAAATACAGCCTCTCCTCACTTAGCGACATACTCGTTTACCGACACCTCAGACAAACGATGGGATATCTGACTAGTATTTATACCTAAATAATGTATATTAGAGATGATTTCCTCTCCTCTTTATTTCAACACACAGTACACTACTGTATAAACATTTAAAAATATACCAGAAATGTTATAAATGGTGCAAAGGTGAATTTTAAACATTATCAAAGATGTACCATTATACAGTAGTATGCTCCTCACTTAGTGACGATTTCGTTTAACAAAGTGGTCTTGGTAACGGAACTGTGTTGTTAAGTGAGGAGAGGCTGTATACATCACACCACTGTACAATATGCATCAGAACACTATACAATATACATCACAATGCTTTCCAATATACATTACAACACAATACAGTATACATCACAATGCTTTCCAATATGCATCACAACACTATACAAAATACATCACACTATACAATATACATCACACTATACAATATACATCACAGCACTGTACAATATACAACCCATCACATTCAATACACATCATTACAATATGCAATATATATCACACTATAAAACATACATCACAACACTGTGCAATATACATCACAATATACATGTACATCACAACACTATACAATACACATCACAACACTCTGCAGTATACATTACAATACTATACAATATGTGCAAGAATGGTATATAATACCGACAAGATGAAATTAAGACACATGCGCAACATCTGGGTATCTTTATTGTAGACGTTTCGCCATCCAGTGGCTTTATCAATACAAATTCTAGGACATAACTTGAAGACAGTAGAACTATGTACAGAAGATGAGGTAATCAGTCCCTCAACCTTGGAGTACTCCAAGGTTGAGGGACTGATTACCTCATCTTCTGTACATAGTTCTACTGTCTTCAAGTTATGTCCTAGAATTTGTATTGATAAAGCCACTGGATGGCAAAACGTCTACAATAAAGATACCCAGATGTTGCGCATGTGTCTTAATTTCACTATACAATATACACCACAACGCTATACAGTACACATACAACACTACACAGTATACATCACAAAATGAAACTACAAGCATCACCACTACAAGTATCACCACTACAAGTGCCACAACTACAAGTATCTACAAGTATCACCACTACAAGTATAACACTGCAAGTACCACCACTACAAGGACCACCACTACAAGTATCACCACTACAAGTACCACAACTAAAAGTATCATTACAATTGTCACCTCTGTAAGTATCACCTTTACAAGTATCACCTCTACAAGTATCACCACTACAGGTGCCACCATTACAAGTATCCTATACAAGTATCACCACACAAGATCCCCTCTCCAAGTTTCACTACAAGTACACCATATAAGTATCACCACACAATTCCCCTTTCCCCAAATCACCACTATTACCACTGCAAGTATTACTACAAGTATCACCACTATAAGTATCAACACTACAAGTACCATAACTACAAGTACCACAACTACATTATCCCACTAAAGTTCACCCCACTAAAATATCACCATACAAGTACCATAACTAAAATCCCGCAACTACAAGATCACCATACAAGTATCCCCACTAAAAGTATCCCACTACAAGTACCGAAAATAAAAGGGTATCACCCCCTACAAGTATCACCACTCAATATCCCACTACAAGTCTAACTAAAAGTACCGCAACTACAATTCACCACTACAAGTTCACCACTCAAGACCATAACACAAGTCCCAAAACAACACAAGATCAC